GGTGTAGTATCCCTTCGTCATCGTACTATAATAGTACACTAGCGTAGACGTAGTTAGAAGCATTAGTTTCTAGGATAGTAGGCCTATTCTAGTCGAAGTGCTTTAGTACCGGCTCGCTTATAAACGCAGTTTTTAGGAACTTAAAAGCTCTCTAGTATTCGTCTATCTATACGAATAGTGTATCCTTCTTTTCTAGTGTAGTAATTAGTGCTAAGATTCTTAAAAAATCCTTAATCTAACGTTAGTAGAATTCTGCTATTCTAGTAAATAACTTAACATTAGTAACGGTCTTAGGCGGCTGCTAGTTAATTATAGCTTCGATCTTCTTCGGATCTATCCTAGTGCCTTCTACACCTATAATAATTCCTAGGTATGTTAGTTCGCTCTTAAAGAACTCGTATTTCGATAGTTTAGCGTAGAGTTAGTTCTTTCTTAATACGTCTAATATAAGTCGAATGTGCTTTTCGTGTTCCTTCCGTGTTTTGCTATAGATTAGGATGTCGTCTAGGTAGACTTAGTAGAATAGGTCGATATACGGGCGGAAGATTTCGTTTATAAATCTTTGCTAGGTAGTAGGGGCTCCAGTTAATCTAAACGGCATAACTAGTAATTCGAATAGGCCTAACTTCGTACGGAAGGCAGTCAGGTATTCTAGTCCTTTCTTAATTCGAATATTGTTAAATGCCGTAACGATATCGATCTTCGAAAAGTAATTTATCCCTTTTAGTGCGTTTAGAGTTTCTCTTATTAGTAGCAGCGGGTATCGGTCTTTTTTAGAGACAGTATTAAGTCCTTAGTAGTCTATATATAGGCGGAGACTTCTATTAGATTTCTTTATAAATAGGATAGGGGATAAGGTAGAAGAGGAGCTTAGTCGAATAAAACCTTTACGAAGGTTTTCCTCTATCTATTCCTTTAATGTTTATAGCTAGACTTAGGACATCGGGTATAGGAGTCCCTAGGGCGGTTTCTAACTATCTTTTAACTTAATGTTATAATCGTAGGGTCGGTATAGCGGTAGCTTCTCTACTTCCTTCGGGCTAAATACGTCGTAGTAATCCTTTAGCTCGATAGGAAGTTCGGCAGCGGGGTTAATAGGGGTAGTAATCTCCTCGAGGGCAGCTTCTACTTAGTTTAATATAATCTAGTATATAGGTGTACCTTAGCGGGCCGTTACTACTATATATTTTATGCTTATAGAGTATATCTCTAGATTATTAGTTGCCGTACTCGGCTTAGGGGTTACGGTAAGGCGAATAACGTTCTTAGGACGTTCCTTTAGTAGAACATCGGGGATAGCGTAGATGCGGGTAGGTAGCAGGGGCGTATTATAGTTATTTTAATAGTAGGGACTATTAAATAACATAGTTCCTTTACTAAACTTTAGCTTAGAATTATATAACTTTAACTAGGGAATCCCTAGGATTATTAGGTAGTGTAATAGGTAGGTAACAAATAGGAAGGCTTCTTTCTTAGTGTAGTTATGTATACGTAGGGTTATAATAATAAAGTAAGTTATAGTAGCAGACTTATCTTCTTATCTATTAAAATTAACTAGCAGCATCTCTCTTTTTATACGTTATAGTACGAAGTCTCGAGACGTCGCCTAGTCCTTATCGATAAAGTACACTCCCTTAGCTCTAGTATCAGTTATAGCATAAGTCGGGGCGGTATAGGATCCTTATTCTAACGAAACTTGCTAGACTATTAGCTAGGTACGGTTTCGCTTTCTCTTCTCTAGGTTCTCGTTTAGGTAGGTTCTATAGATTTATAGGGCGGTTTCGGCGTAGTTATTACGTTAGTCGAGTACTCGATTACGACTTAGATCGAGGCTCCTCCTTTTGCTAATCTTTCTATAAAAGTAGGGGAAGCTAGGCGGCTATTCTCTTCGGCTAAGGTAGCGTAAGGGTTAGTGCTCGTAGCACGAGTTTCTCTAATCTAGGCGGGACGGTTAGCAGGAGGTAGAAGAGAGCAGTTTATAATACGGTAATTAGGGGAGCCGTAGTAGTAACATTCGCCGCGTTCCCTTCTTCTAGAGGGCTAGTATCTAGGAGGGGGCCGGCGGGAAGCACTTAGGTCTATTAGTTTACTAGCGGTAGAGCTAGTTATCTAAGTAGTTATAGTTACTATAGGGATACGAGTAGGGATCGGGCGAGTAGAAGTAGTAGTAGAAGTAGCGCGGATAGGGCGTATATCGGTTAAGTCATTATAGTATCTTCTCTTATTCTCTAGCTTCTAAAGGAACTTAGAGAACTTATAAATGTCGTAGTTAGGGGCGTTAACACTAGTAAGTTAAGCTTTTAGCTTACGGGATAGAGCAGATTCTAGGAGGGTGATTTAAGAGTCTTCTAAGACTTCTCCTTCTAGGGCGAGGCGTTAGAACTCGGCATAAAATGCGGCGAATTTACAGTTTTACTACTTTAGGCGGAATAGGTCCTTACGGGCATTATTAATACGGTTAGGGTCGCCGTAGGCGCGTTCTAGTATACGAAGGACATTAGGGTAGTCGGGTAGTTAGCACTCTCCTTCTATAATAAAGGGTAGAATTTAGGCATACGCTTATCCTTCGAGGCAGTTAGTAATATAGGACATCCTTTCTTTAGTAGTTAGGAAACGGTCGGCGTTAGTTTTCATCTTCTAATAGATCTTTACTTAGAAGCGGCAGAAATCCTTACGATCTCCGTTAAAGATTATAGGGTTAGGAAGTCGTTTAGAAAGGCGGGAAGAGGTAGAAGATTAGGTAGGAGTAATCGGAGTCTCTACTGTTATAATAGCTAGAGCGGCTTTAGTAGGTAGCGCGGTAGTAGGGATAGAGGCGGGGGTAGATATAGTAGGGGTAGCTATAACTATTACAGTCTTAAGCTTCTTACGTAGCTAGAAGATTTCCTTAGACTGCTTAGAGAGCTAGGTGTCCTAATACTTAGTAGTACTAGCTAGTTTATCTCTTATAGACCTTATGTTCTAAAGGTCTCGTTCTAGTTCGGCGGTATAGGTGCAGATAGCAACATTTTCTAGGGTTTTGTTATTTAGTCGTTCTTATAGTTTAGATTACTAGTCGTTTAGGAGGGTCATTTCGCGGCTTAGGTAAGTTACCTGAGTAGCTAGGCTAGTAGCGCATTTATAGAGTTCTACGGTGTAGAGGTACTATGCTTCGGGGTCGTTAGATACGAGTTCGGCGAAGTGTTAAGCGTTCTTAACTCTCGTAGGGAGTTCGGGGAGGGTAGTCATCGCGACAGGCAGCTGTTCCTTTAGGTAGGAGCTACGTAATATTATAGGAGTAGGTCGGGTGTATAGTAGAAGGAGCAGCTATATAGAGTATAGTACTATTTAACAGGCTATCTACGGTTAGGCAGTGAAACTAGCAGGCAGGTTTAATGATAGGACGTAGCTCGAAGAGCTATAAACACAGAAGCGGCATAGGCTATATAATCATTCTCTGGCAGAACCTCGGTTCTGTAGCTTACGTGACCCTAGGCAGGGTCACCCTGTTAGCCACAGCACTTATTGCAGGCAAGCGCCGTAACATTCTTATTTATTATAAATAATAATATTAAGATAGATAATAATAGTTATATCTAGTCTTAAGCTATAATAGCCGTTCTAACCTTTAAGACTCTTACTATAATAGCTTTAAGAGCTAATATATTACGATCTACTATTAGCTAGAGGTCCTTACTTACTAAGACAGCGAGTAGGATAGCTATATACCGATCCTTACGCGCTTAGCGGGTAAGATAACCCGCCGATAATATAGTTAGGGTTACCCTAATAACTTACCCGCTTAGCAAGTAAGCTATAAGGTAGATTATTACTCCCTTACGTCGTAAGCTAGTAAGCTACGAAGCAGATCATTACCTCCTTATCTAGCGAGTAAGTAAGATACTTATATATACTTATTATAGATAAGGTATTATTATGGCCAACTATTCTTGGAAGAGAATAACTAGTCACGGGGTTAGACTCGTGAAGAGGAGTGTTAAGCGAAGTGAAGCAGGTGTATGTAGTAGTGTATACTAAAGGGACTGTTAGAATAACTAATTAAGTTGAACGCAGAACTACCAGAGGTTGTTCTGCCTTCCTATATACTTTGTCTATAATGAATGTATACAAGTATCTCACTTGCTCGCTGGGTGAGGTGGTGAGGATCTGCTTCGCAGCTCACTAGCTCACGGCGTGAGGGAGTGATGATTTCCCTCGCAGCTCACTTGCCAAGCAAGCGAGCTGTCAGGGTGACCCTGACCGCACCACAGGTTGGTTAGCTCACCTGCCAAGCGCGTGAGGATCGGCACACAGCCATCCTGCTCACTATCTTGGCGGGTGAGGCCCTCTAGCCAATGGTGGATCGTAACAGGTATATAGGAAGGCAGAACAACCTCTAGTAGTTCTACGTTTAACTTAATTAGTTATTCTAACAGTCCCTTTAGTATATACTACTTTATAAACTACCTGCTTTACTTCGCTTAATACTCCGCTTTACGAGTCTAACCCCGTAACTAGTTATTCTCCCTAGAATAGTTAGCTATAATAAATACGTATACTCTTATAAGATATTTTACCGATTATAGGGCATCGTTCTAGTTACGAGAATCTTAGTCGTTATTATATGTATTATCTTTTAAGCTATGTATTTATCCAGTAGTTTATAAATGTACTGTTACTTATAGCTCCCGGGATCCTTAAACATATTAGTATAGAGGGGCCACCGTCGTAAAGGATGCAAATGCCGCTTGCTTATGCGTGAATGCTGCTGGCAAAAGTTAAGGTTACGGTGTAAATATCCGGCTTCTAAAGCTGGTATGTCAAGATTGTTAACAAACAACGCTATTCCTGGAACGCCATAATATAACATAACATACACATACTCACAGGTCCACCTCTGATTCAACAGTCGATTTCCAGGATGGAGATGCCAAGATAAACATAGGAAGAGTGTTCCGAGAAGACTTCATGTGGCGAAATTGACCTGACGCACAGGTGGAGTACAGTATACATATGTTCCAATCGTTCCCCGCTTCCTTCCTTTCGCTTGCTTGCTTGCTTTATGTTGTCGACATTCTTCGGCTGATAGGTCTGAGAACCAGGTGTGATGTTGTGGAAAGCATTGCGCCTCGAACAAAGCATACTTTTACTACTAAAATTGGTCCCCCTATCTTACGCGTTGATCCCAAGAACGTCGTTGATCAAAGTGAAGTCTGCGCCTATGGGCCAGTAAAAATCGTCTGTGCTAGCGAAAGCAGCCTCGGAGATGTTGTCAGCAAGATCGAAAGAATGTTCGGGGGCACTCGTCGACGCGTCGACATGTATGGCGACAGGTGAGCTCCCTCTGTGCTTATGCTTGTGCTCTACAATGCATATACGATGGTATAGAGTTCTTAATCCTTGGTGTTGTGTTGCAACCGCAGGACTATATCCCCGCAGCAGTTGAAACACGGAGTCGCATTGTTCCCAAGCAGCCTTCAGACCATCAGTTCCGGTTCCCTCACTGAGTGCATCACACAAGATCGCCAAGAGGACAATGGTGCCGGCGGCGCGAGCGTAGAAAGCACTGTACCACCAAGCTCCGGCGGTGTCACATGTTAGACTTTGGTGTATGGTATCTATCAATTGGACGGACTGTACAACGCAAGCTTGAGCGAGAGATTGGATAATGCTTAACGAGATATCAATTGAGCTGGTAGAGCTTGACGGCCCGGCCACTGGCTGCTTTGATCCTTGTTTACAGACGTGGTCGCAGAATCGAACGAATATGGGTCGATAGAGCAGGATGCGAAGGTGTGTACGGCGAATTTGCAAGATACAAGCCTGCTGCGCGACCTGTGCTCCCAGATGCGAAGTTACTTCCTTCTTCCAGTGCAAATGATCTGGAACCTGGGCTTCGAATCGGGTAATTTGTGCATCAATGTCTAAAGTGATGTCAAAGCTGTCCTTGCTGTTTTGCTCCGATTGTCCAGTCGAATGGCCATATATCTGAGACATGACATCTGCAAGGATCCTGTAGAGCTTGATCGATTCGTTGTAGAAGTTCAACCATGAAGGATGGTGTTCCGGTAGATAGGTCATATCCTTATCATTCATGTTTCGGGGATACGGAAGAAGCAGTGACTCCCGAAGCATCTGTGGCCTGCCCAGAGTCATACTAACGATGGCATCGAGCATGACACAACCGTGCCAAACGCGTCTGCGCATCTCTAGATCCAGTGCAGTAAAGGTTTGGTGTACCTCTTTGGGCTCTACATGCAGACCCAAGCCCTGTGCAAGTCGACAAGCGATGCCGATACAATTCCAGCACCTGCTAGGAAATGGTGTAGATTGGAGGTATTGCGCCATGAGCAACAGGGACTGCACCATCGCTAGCGAGCCATTATCGAAAAGATCGAGCTGACATAAGCTGCGCGCTTTATCGGCAAATATATCACCGAGTGTTGTTCTCTCGTCTGATGGTAGGTCCATGAACTGCACGCCGAGAGCGAGCATCGAGTTAAGCGCACAGTGAAATACGATATCGTCCTGTCCGCATGACCTGGACCCCAGCATACCCACGTCTGAAAGAGCAAGATCTTTTCTGGCGGCCTCCGGAACCCATATGTTATCATAAGCTTTCCCGAATACCATTCTATTCACGAATGGATATAGATGGTGGACTTTTTCCCAGTAGGTAATCATTACCTTGTCGACAATGGCTCTCGGTGGGAGGCTAAGGTATGCTTGTTTCGAAGAAGTCCTTGTGTGGGATGCACTGCTTGTTGCAGACGTATTGAGAAGAGCGACTGGTTCCACGTTCAACATGGGGACTTGCCCAGCGATTGTGGCGTGAACCTGATGCATGAAAGAAACGGCAGACGATCCGCCGTAGAAGGAGTTGTCTTGCCCTCGCTCAACAAATTCAAAGCCGTCTGCTCCCATGGCGTCGACCGAGGATGGCTCGCTCGCAGGACGTTGTTCAGTAGAATAGGCCAATGGTACAGCTCGCAAGGCGCTTTCTGCCACCATCGGAGCCCTTGGCTCGGCCCGACCACCGATGTCCTGGGGACTTGCTGGATCGGCGTTGACCAATCCACGCGCGCGTTCCAGGGATTCGAGTTCTTGAATACGTGCGCGCAAACTTGAAAGGTGGTCATTATTGCATTCTCGAGCCTCAAGCTCGCGGATGCGCAACAGCAAGCCTGAAACGTATCCATCATGATCTGGAACCCTGTTCGGGTTGGGAGTGTAGCGACATTGCGACCTTAGGTTAGGACGCTGTGCACATTCTCCGCATACAGGTTTCACGCCGTCACAGCGGCTCTTCCGCGAGCGACAAAGATCACACGCTTGTGCAACCTTGCGCCTTTTGCGTTGTTCGTTTTGCTCAGCCGGAGTGCCTGTAATCGCTTGCTGTTGAGAATGGTCTTCCGATTGATTGGCGGTGAACACGCCGAGCGGGTCTGGCATCTTGAGAGATGTGACACAAAGGCAAGGAAGGCTTTGTCACATGGGCCACCGCTAGCAGCGATTGCAGCAGCGTGCCAAGGAAAGTGGCACCGAGGTACCCACGACCCCGCACACTCATGATCTTCACGTCAATGTAACTATCGAAGGAAGACATCCCAACGAATGCGTGATTTAGAGCCAGACAATTTGTCGTGTGATGGTCCAAGACTCAGCATCATGATTTGAGTGCGGATCTCATGTAGGACTGATGATCATGCGCGGAATGACGTCCAGCCTCCATGCCTGTAATACGACTATTGCTAGACTTGCTGTCATTTCCGTGAATCACACAGATCTTTCGTATTTATCGTTGCATCTCTTTAGCAAAGCGCCGGCCAGAGTGTCATGTCGAAGGATCTATATTCTGCCAATGTAAAGCTTACAATATCGAAGTTGTGATCGGTCGATGATTTGGGACTACGGATAGATCCCGTACGCGTCACATGACTGTTCATCAGTGCGAAGCTTCCATCCGGATATCTCGATCGGGTTGACGGAATGGATCCCGGTACAGCTTAACTCGGTACACAACTTCAGGTCGTTGAGCCGAAGACAGGAAGGGACAGGTTCGCTGCATATCAATCACTCCAATCCGGAAAAAGCTTATCCAGGATTCAAGAACGACTCGATATTGCAATTCCTCGATTCTGACTCTTACGACAATCACCTCCCAGGATCTGTTGCCAGCGACAATGAACATATTCGAGACGGAAGTCATCATTTGTGGCAGTGGCTCCGCAGGCATATGCGCTGCCATATGGCTTGCGCAAGCAGGCATCACTTTCCGCTTCCTCGAGAAGAATGAGGGACCATTAATGATCGGGCAAGCTGACGGAGTCGCGTGCCGCACCGTAGAGATATTCGAAAGCTTGAATATCTCCGAAGAGTTGCTGCGTGAAGCATACCATGTTACCGAGCTGACATTCTGGAGCATGCGCGGTAATAGGCTCGAACGAACAGGGCGAGCACCTGATACACCTCCGGGCCTGTCCCATCTTCCCCACGTCATCCTCAACCAAGCCAGAATCAATGAATTGCTGCTCGACAAGATGTACAGCTTCAACTCAAACCAGCACATCGACTATGCCCACCATGTCAAGACAACCAGGATCGGTATGGTGAAGGACTATCCAGTCGAAGTTATTGCCGAGCATCGCGGTCAGGAAAGGATCTTCCGAGCGAAGTACGTGCTGGTAAGTTTCGAGAATGAACTTCGTCACTGCGATTGTCAGCGTTGATCAGTATATCGGCAGGCATGCGATGGAGCCCACAGCAGTGTGCGTCGATCGCTCGGCTACAAGATGCTTGGTGATTCGTCGAACGCGATCTGGGGCGTGATGGATATTTTTCCAAAAACAAATTTTCCTGACATCCGGAAAAAGGCGACCATTCACTCGAACAGTGGTTCTATCATCATCATCCCTAGAGAGGGAGGATATATGGTGCGGTTTTATGTTCAGATGCCAGCAGGAACAGATGCAAAGCAAGTGTCCCTTGCGGGACTGCACCAGCGTGCCGCATCGATCCTAGAGGGCTATGATTTCGAGGTACAACACACTTTTTGGTGGTCTGCGTATTCAATCGGCCAACGACTTGCCGAAAACTTTAGTGCATATGATCGTGTGTTTCTAGCAGGAGACGCATGCCACACCCATTCACCAAAGGCGGGTCAAGGAATGAATGTCAGCTTGCAGGACGGCTACAACATTGGATGGAAGCTTGCTTATATCCTTCGTGGTAAGCTCCGACCTGAGGTTCTGGACACCTACGTGTCCGAACGTTCGACGGTAGCTGCCGATCTCATCGCCTTCGACCGGTCACTTACCCAGCTGTACACCACAACACAGGCAAAAAGTGCGGCAGAGAATTTTCAAGACCATTTCTTGCGGAGTGCGAAATACATGGCTGGTCTCAACACTCGATATGGAGAGTCTCTTCTCATCGATATGAAGAACAGTGATCATCATTCTGCCAGGAACGTGCACGTCGGCATGCGCTTCCCGAGTGCCCAGGTCATTCGTCTGTCTGACGCAAGACCTCTAGAATTCGCCAAAACATTGAAGTCTGATGGCCGATGGCGGATCGCTATCTTTATCGGCGACATAACGAAGCAGGTCGGCGCAGACAGACTGAGAAATGTGAGTCGTTTTTCGCAATCTCAAGCTTCCAGGTCACTGAATATTGAAGGTCACCAACTACTTGAGCTCTGTCAAGGGTCCATCTATGGAATATGCTACACCTGGACGAGATTCCGATTTTGGCGTCGAGCTGCTTCTTAGTTTAGGGTTTTTTTTAGGGTTTTAGGGTTTTTAGGGTTATTTAGGGTTAGGGTTAGGGTTAGGGTTAGGGTTAGGGTTAGGGTTAGGGTTAGGGTTAGGGTTAGGGTTAGGGTTAGGGTTAGGGTTAGGGTTAGG